CTGCATGGCCATTTGGGGACACCAAGGGACCTTATAGACCACTGAGTCTGAAGATCTGGGGCTGGAGACCCATCTGCATGGCTGTCTGGGGACACCAAGGGACCTTGTAGACCCCTGTTCCTGAAGATCTGGGGCTGGAGACCCASCTGCATGGCCATTTGGGGACACCAAGGGACCTTGTAGACCCCCTAGGTCTGGATATTTGGGGCTGGAGACCCAACTTCCTGGAGCTGTGGGGCTGGAGACCCACACGCATGGAGATATGGGGGCGTCAAGGGACTTTGCACAAAGACTTCACCCCAGAGACCCCTGCTCTGTCCAGAGATGTGGGGCTGGAGACCCACCTGCATGGAGATCCCCCCTCCCCAGAGATGTGGGGCTGGAGACCCACCTGCACAGAGATCCCCCTCCCCAGAGATGTGGGGCTGGAGACCCATCTACGAGGAGCCCCGTGGGACCTCAGGGACATCAGAGGACCCTGGAGCCACCATCCCCCCAGACCTTGGGGTCCTGGGACCTCCTCACCTAAAAATCTGGGGGTGCCCTGRCACCCTGAGCAGCACCCTGCCCTCGATGCCTTCCTGCACCCATGGGTGCCCCTTTACCATGCTCCCCCAGCAGGCCTGGGTCGGGGGGGAAGGTGCCTTAATTTATTGCCAGGCGACTGCTAATTTATTGCACTTTAATGCCMGTTTATTTATTGCGATTTAGGATATTAATAAATTTATTTATGGCTCCAGGTGGCCCCAGGGGTCCTTCACGTCCCACCCCAAAAAGGTGACCACGTGCACCCCCCACCCCACGAGGGGGTCTGGTGTCACCAGCCCCATTTTGGGGGTGAATCTGCTCGGAGGGCCTGAGTGCCAGGCCAGTGCACAACCCTATACGAGCCACCTGAGAATCCACCTCGTTCTTCACCCTGGCCCTGGGGATCCCTAGGGGGTGGTGAAGGGGACCTCGAGGGACCTAAAGGGAGGGACCTAGGTGTCCGGGACCTCCCTGCGACACCCCGTGCTGGTGCACCCACCTACCCGCCCCAGCTSGCACCCATGGGTGCTGGCGCTTCCTTTAGGCACCGGCAATTGCCGTGGGGGCGAAGCTGCAGAAACCACAGGGCTGGAAGTTCCACCAGGCGCAGCACCCAGTGTCCCCAATGTCCCCAATGTCCCCAGTGTCCCCATTGTCCCCATCGCTCCAGAGCTGGGCTGTTAGAAAGCAGGTTTTTGGGTTTTTTTATGTAGCAGAAAAAAACAAAAATTGGAGAAGGGGGATGGGGAGGGGGAGCTCGTGGGGTCCCCAGGGTGGCGGGGGACACCCAGTCACGTGGGGCACCCGAAGAGGGTCATGGTCTCGGCGAACTCCACGAAGTCCTGGCACTGGGCCTGGAGCTCGGGCTCCTGGCACTCCTGCTCGCCGGGCCACCGCTCGAGCCACGTGTCCTTGCTGATCAGGTAGGAGAAGCTGCAAGGGGAAGGGGACACYGGTGGGTGGCGGCTCCAGCACCCATGGGTGGCCCCGGAGCGGTGAGGGGGTAAGAGGCACAACCCTATATGAGACGCTAGAGAATCTCCGCCTTTGAGGGTCATGGGTGGAGTCATCTCTATGTTCTAGTTCCTCAAGACCCATGGTGTCACCTCGTGTCCCCTGCCCCATGTGTCCCCCACCCTGGTGGTGTCCCCCATGTCCCCGTGTGACCCATGGTGTCACCCTGTGTCCCCTGCCCCATGGGTCCCCCACCCTGGTGGCCTCCCTCATGTGACCCATGGTGTCACCCTGTGTCCCCTGCCCCATGGGTCCTCCACCCCTAGTGGTGTCCCCCATGTCCCCATGTTACCCATGGTGTCACCTTGTGTCCTGTGTCACCCATGTGTCCCCCACCCAGGTGGTGTCCCCCATGTCCCCGTGTGACCCATGATGTCACCCTGGGTCCCCTGCCCCATGGGTCCCCCACCCTGGTGGCCTCCCTCATGTGACCCATGGTGTCACCCTGTGCCCCCTGCCCCATGTGTCCCTCAAGACCCATGGTCCATGTCACCCTGTGCCCCCTACCCCATATACCCACATGTCCCCCACCCTGGTGGTCTCCTCCATGTCACCCATGGCATCACCCTGTGCCATGTGCCCTGTGTACCCATGTGTCCCTCAAGACCCATGGTCCATGTCACCACGTGACCTGTGCCCAACGTGTCCCCCACCCCTGGTGGTCTCCCCCATGTCCCCCCCCACCCCTTGGGCCGTGTCCCCGTGTCCCCTGTCCTTACTGGGCGCCGGTGCTCCAGAGGTCGCTGCCAAGTCCCCAGATGAGGTAGTCCTTGCCCACCTCCAGGTTGAGCGTCTCGCGGCACTGCTGGTGGCTCACGAAGGTCCGGTTGCTCCCGGCCGGGGCCTCATCCGTGCCTGCCCAGGGTGACCGCGGGTGACATGGTGTCCTCACGTCCCCTCCCCATGTCACCGACATGTTCCCGCATCACCGACATGTTCCCGCATCACCAGCATGTTCCATCAGCACCCACACGTGGTGCCAAGGACATGGCCCAGCTCCACGGATGGGACCCAGTTCTCCCCACAAAGGTTGTCCTCTCCTCATGGACGCCTGATGCCACCAGCACCCATGGGTGGCAGCGGCGTGGGTCACCCGCTCCCCTCCAACACTGGGGACATCCCCCTTTGGTGTTGCCATCTCCATAGGGGTGGTGCTAGTGCTTTTGGGTGACCCCCAACCCACCTGGTTGTCCCCAAGTCCTCTCGGGGGTCCCTTGGGTGACATCAACCCATGCAAGTGTCCTTGCTCCAGGACAGTCACAGAAGCATTGGGTGACCTCCAGCCACCCCAGGAGCCCCCCAACACCCCTTGAGTGACACCAAGTCAACCAGGTGTCCCCAACGTCCCCACCCTGGCACCTCGGGTTGCTCGTACCCATCTTGATGACGGAGAGGATGTTCATGAGATAGTTGTCGTAGGCCGGCAACTGCTTCATCTCCAGCAGCCTCACCTTGTACACTGTGGATAGGGACGTCCCCACACCGTTGTCACCAAGGCCACCCCTTAGCTTGGGTGGCCCTGATGCCCTCTTCTCCTTAGGTCCCTCTGTGTTTCCCTCTGGTGTCCCCATGTCCCTCCTGCGCCCACATCTCCTCCCATGTTCTCACGCCTCCCACCATGTTCCCCATCCTGGTGGCCCACCGTAGTCAACTCCCGGTTCGCAGGCGTCCTCAATCCGCTTGTTGACAGTGATGGCGACGTCCTCCTTGTGCTGCACGAAGCAGCTCTCTGGAGGGGGGACACGGGAGGGGGACACGTCTGGGACAAGTCTCCATCATGGCCAGGAGATGTCCCCTTCCCAACCAAGATGCGTCCCATTCTGGCCAGGACGTGTCCCCACCACGACTGGGGCATGTCCTTGTGGTGGGACACATCCCATCACATGTCCCACCACAAGGACACGTCCCATCATGCCACGTCACCCCTCCTGGTGTCCCCTGTCCCTGTCGCACCTTCGGCGCAGCGGCACACGTCCTCATGGCAGATCTTGTTCAGCTTCCCGCCGCCCTTCTCCGGGTGGTAGAAGCGCGTGCAGCGGTCGTCTACAGAGACACGCGGGGGACACGGGGTGGGGGACACGGCAGGGGAGAAAGTCAGCAGGAGGAGAGGACATCGAGGACATCTGGGGGGCAAGGATTGGTGGGGATATGGGGTCACCCTGGTGGCACCATGGTGGGGAGATGGGGACACCCTGGTGGCACCATGGTGAGGATATGGGGTCACCCTGGTGGCACCATGGTGGGGAGATGGTCTGCAGGGAGATGTAGGCACAGAGGAGTTCTGGGGGGCTCAGAGGACATCTAGGGGACAAAGATTGGTAGGGATATGGGGACACCCTGGTGGGACCATGGTGGGGAGATGGGGACACCCTGGTGGCACCATGGTGAGGATATGGGGACACCCTGGTGGCATCACGGTGGGGAGATGGTCTGCAGGGAGATGGAGGCACAGAGGAGTTCTGGGGGGCTCAGAGGACATCTGGGAGACAAGGATTGGTAGGGATATGGGGACACCYTTTTGGCACCACGGTGGGGAGATGGGGACACTCTGGTGGCACCGTGGTGGGGAGATGGTCTGCAGGGAGATGGAGGCACAGAGGAGCTCTGGGGGGCTCAAGAGGATCGAGGGGAACAGGAGGGGACTCAGGGGGATTTGGGGGCACACGGGGCTCACCAATCTTGTAGTAGCTGTATATTGTGACCGACGCGGGCTGGATCAGCCCCACCTGGAAAACCTGGTGGGCCTTGAAGGACAAACACTCCTCTTCTTGGTGGGACACCTGGGGAAGGCATGGGAAAGAGTAGATGATGGCATTACATGGGCATTACAAGCCTGGTCATGTCTCCATCCCTGCCCACGTCCCCATCCACGTCCTTGTCCTCATCTATGTCCTCAATCCCATCTCTATGTCCCACCCACCTCCTTGTCCCCATCCATGTCCCCAATCCCATCCCTGTGTCCCACCCACCTCCTTGTCCCCATCCCAACGTCCCATCCATATCCCCATCCTGGCCCCGTCTCCAGCCTTGTCCCCCATCCTGTCCCCAGTCCCCATTCGTGTCTCTGAGCCACCCCGGCCACGTCCCCGCCTCTGTCCCACCTTGTCGAGGTAGATGACGAGGTTGCCGCGGTCCGAGGGCGCCTTGTCGATCTCGTACTTAGAGATGTATCTGTCCACCCCCTCTGAAAGCTGAACGTGGGGACACGGGGACATGGTGACATGGAGCACGTGGGGGCACCACCACCCAGGGACCCGGTGCCCCTAGTCCCCGTGCTCACTCGTTTGAGGTCTTCAAGATCGGGGGTGAAGCCCGTGAGCATGGAGATGTCGAGGATAGACATGGTGGCATCCACRTTGTCCAAGTACCTGGGGGAGACAGCGCCTGTCCCCAAGGTCTCCAACATCTCCAGGACCCCGTCCCTGACATCCCCATCCCAGTGACCACCCTGGGACGGTGTCTCCATTCTCATCCCTGTTCCCAGRGCCCTCTAAATTGTCCCCATCTCTGTAGTCAACATCCCCCCCAGAGTCCTGTCCACGTGGTGGTCCCTCTCCCTGATGTCCCCATTTCTTCCCCTCTTTGACCTTGTCCTTCTCCCATCTCTGATGTCGCTGTCCCCAGTGTTGTGATCCCTGCCCCCAGCCTCCCCCTTCTCATCTCCGATGTCCCGGCGTCCCCGCCAGCCCTGATATTCCTCCTGTGTCCCCCACCTCATGCAGATGGAGATCTTCACAGACCGGATGATCCCCTCCTTTTGCTTGCCTGCAGGGTGGGGAGAGACAACGTTGTCACCCTTACCCTGTCACCCGAGGGACAGGGAGAATATCGGGGACCCAAGGGGACATTGAGGGMCACTGGGGGACACGGAGGGCTCTGGTGGGACTCACCCGTCTTCACTTCTTCCACCTGCACCCGCAGGTCGAAGCTGTCACACTTGCTTTCCTTTTCGGGGATCTTGGCGTTGTAGACGGTCACCACCGTCAACGTCCCCTTGCCTTTGCCCTCCGCTTTCACCGTGAATTCCTCGTTCCACTTGGTCTGTTGGGGCCAGGGGGACGTTGGGAGGCATGAGGATGTCCCAATGGATGAGGTGGATCCAACGGTGATGGGGCAYGCCATGCCATGGAGGGGACAGGAATGTCGTTGGACCCGAGGAATGGAAGGACACGGAGGGACAAGGCAGGCCGTGGAGGGACACAAAAGGCCCAGGGATGTCACAGGACGCCGAAGGGACAGGATATGGAGGGCAGGGACATCCCAAGGCACAGAGGAACGTGGAGGGGACAGGATCATCACAGGCCACCCAGGGGACAGGAGCACCCTGGGCCACCGCAGTAGGGGGACAGGAGCAGCGGTTGCGCTGTGCTGGTCCAGGTGGCCACCAGTGCTGTGGCGACGGGGACAGGGATGGTGGTGACACCCACCAGGGCCCATCACGGCGGCCATACCTCAGCAGAGCGGGCCACCAGGGCRTTGCGGTTCTCGATGCGGTACTTGATGGGGCTGGCGCGCCGGGGCAGCAGCACCGACACGTCCAGGTTGAGGTCCTGCTCTTGCGGCATGGAGATCTGGTACTGCGCCAGAGCTTGGAACACCAGGATGGTGGCCTGCAGGGACAGCAGGGTCACCAGTGGGTGTGTGGACATGGACCAGCGCGTCCCCAGGTCCTTGGGGCACCTTGGAGCCCAGTACCCAAAGCCCTGATGTTATCTGGGGCTGGAACATCTCCTGGGACATCCATCCCACCCCACGCCAGCTCCYAGCCCACGGCCCACCTGTGTGGAGCCATAGCCACCCCCGTAGTAGTTCTGCTTGGCGAGCCAGCGCACGACAGGTCCCGCGAGGTCCGTCTTCTCCATGTGCAGCAGGGCGAGCAGGGCGTAGGACGTGCCCTCGATGTTGTAGGTGCGGGCGTTGCGTTCCTCCCAGCTCTTATTGTCTACGGGAGGTTGTCGGAGGGTCCAGTGTCACTTCGTGGCCCCCTGAGACCAACCACCACCTCTGTGCCCTCCATCCCCAGGCTTTACCTTTGGAGAACTTCATGAGGATCTTCTCGCTGTTGAGCTTCCCCGCCAGGGCCAGGGCGTAGGAGGTCAGGGCCACCGTGTAGGGCCTGGCCAGGGACTGGTACCGCCGGGACAGGTATTCGGAGGCCTTTTCAATACTCCTCTCCAAGTTCTGGGCAAAGAGAAAGGTCATGTGGGTTCTCGGGTGGCTACTCGGAGAGTTGCCCCAGGGAAGCCACCCCAGGGCCTGGCGGTGCCCAGTGGGACGCTCACGTTGACGCGATCCTTGCAGATCTCCCGGGCTTCCTGCAGCGCGATGAGGACGAAGGCTGTGAGGGACGCCTCGGGCTCGGCACCGTGGTACCCTCCCTGCGTGGCGAGACAGGGGCCGAGGTTTTGGTGCTGGGGATTTGGCCGCTCGTCAGGGTTCTGCAGCCGAGCTGGCTTTGTCCACCTACCACCATCTCCTTGTGGATGACAGGAGCATCCTCTTGGAAAATCCCGTCTGGCTTCTGCTTCTCCAGGATGAGCCATTTGATGGCCCCGCACACCACCTCGGGCTCAATGTCCACCAGCTTGATGGCCATAGCAAAGACTTTGGCCACGTACGCCGTGAGCCTGGGGGCATGGGGACCTCAGAGCTGCGCCCTCTGCTCCTCCCCACGCTTTCCCTGGTTTTCATCCCATTCCCACCGTCCTGTTCCCCCTCCCGGTGACCAGAGGAGGCCAGGACTCTCACCAGGTGCTCGACGGACGGTTTTTGAAGGCAGCGTAGGAATTGTCGTCTTTCCGGAAAGCCAATTGTTGAGCGTAACCTGGTGAGGAGATGGCAGCTCAGCACAACYTGGAAACACCCTGGTTGTGGAGCCAGGAGCTCCTGGCCATGGGTCACACCAGGCTTGCTTTGGGCCACCAACTCTTCCAGCATGACCACAGGGAGCACATCTCAGTGCAAACCAAGAGCTCCAAACGCCGGAGTCCAGAGATGCCCTGCTCACCCAAAAGGTTCTCCTGCCCTTTTGAGGTTCTCCTGCCCTTTTGAGGTTCTCCTACCCTTTTGAATCAAGTTGATGGCCTCGGTGCGGCGGTCGACGCCGAGGGTCTCCCACTGCGCCGTGTTGTCCAGGTAGTGGGTGGCGATGACGGTGGGCGTCATGCCGATCATGTTCTGCTCGCCGCAGCCCGACGGTGTCACGATGAGGTGCTTGAGGTTGGCTCCATCAATGGCTTTCTCCACGATGATGGACACGGGGTTGCCTGGCCGGAGAAGGGTGATGTCAAGATGGGGGGGGTGGAGCAGTATCTCCCACCAATCCCCAGCACCCCGTGCACCCCCRGATGCCCGGTCTCACCTTGGATGCTGACTTTGGTCTCCGACTCGGTGTTGGGGACGATGTCGGAGAGGTTTGCTGCCGAGATCTTCTCTTCCTGCACACCGTCTGCGGGATGGAGAGGTCGCGATGGAGCTGGGAAGACCCAGCTCGGTCCCAACCACCAAGGTGTCCCACCTCTACCCTACATCTGCAATGGGGTGCCCCTTACTTCCTCTGAGAAGTCTCAATCTTGCCTCAAATCTGTAGCAGGATGTCCTCCATCCTCAAAATGCCCTAAACATGAAGCGGGACATCCTTCATCCCCAAGATGCCCTTGGTCCTGCTCATTGCAGGATGTCTCTCATCCCGTGAGATGCCCCAGATCCATAGCGGGATGTCCCTTYGTTCTCATGCGCTTGGGCATGTGTTTGGACATGTGTTTGGACATGCGCTTGGACATGTGTTTGGACAGCGAGTTTCACCCCAGGGATGATTCAGAGACATCTCCAGCAAGGGGATGGACGACACTCACTGATTCCCCGTGCGTTTGGGTCCAGCTCGACAATCTTCACCGTCTTCTCCAGTCTCATCCCTTCAGCCTGCAGAGGCAAGAGTCCAGTTCTCAAAGCTGGACCATCTTAGGGCCACCCTCCTCCAGGGTCCTAATCCAAGAATGGCATCCCAGTGCAAACCCAGCAGCCTCAGGTCCCTGGAGAAACCTGGAGACCCCCTGGAGACCACCCAGTTTGGCTCCTTGGACATTGTGGTCAATGAATCACTCATCCCTGGGTAGAGAATGCAGTAGGAAGGTGGAGATGATGATGGGATGGGACATCCTGGGGGGCATTGAGGGGCACTATATCTCCATGGAGATGATGAGGGGATGGGACATCCTGGGGAGCATCAAGGGGCACTATATTTCCATGGAGATGATGGCAGGATGGGACATCCTGAGGGGCATCAAGGGGCTCTATATCTCCATGCAGATGATGACGAGATGGGACATCCTGGGGGGCATTGAGGGGCACCATATCTCCATGGAGATGATGATGGGATGGGACATCCTGGGAAGCATTGAGGGGCACCATATCTCCAAAGCGCCATGACGGCGGCCGCTCACCACAACTTTGAGCTTCTTCTTGACTCCATCGGCCACGTAGGCGCCCCACACGGCTGCCTTGACCTCGACATCGTGCAGCCCCAGCTGCAGGGGCACGAGGATGAAGGGCACCACCCGCGACGACTGGGCTTTGAGGACGAAGACCTGCTGGTAGCGGGCCTTGGACGAGGAGGCGCTGCAGATGGCCGGGTTGTGCATCAGCTCCACGCGCACCTGCAGGACCCACAGGGGCATCGGTGGGCGCTCGGTCAGCTCTGGACCTCCCCATCCCRTTCGTCCCCACCACTGACCTTGATGTCACGCTCCCAGTAGTTGTAGAGGATGGCGCGGACCTCCACCTGCTCGTTCCTCACCACCGAGTAGGGCAGGCGCAGGTCGATGAAGAATTCCTTCATCACCGTGATCTCGTAGGGGTCGGCCACGCAGATACCTGTCGTGCGGCCAAAACGCGTGTGGTTGCAAGCTGGGGGTCTCACCAGGCCTTGACGGGGGGTCCCTAAAGTCCCAGGAATCTCCCCAAGATATGGGAGATCCTTCAAGTCCTTACGGTTTGGGGGGATCACTCAAGTCTTGGCAAGGTTTAGGGGAGCTCTCACATCTGTGGAGCCTCCCCAAGGTCTTGGGCGACCCTTCCAGCATCAGGTGACCCATTYAGGTCTCGAGGGCCCCCTTGTCACCCAACACAACAGCTCCGTAACCCACCCTTCTTCTCCGAGAGGCTGACAGCCAGGACCTCCCAGGTGGTGATGGAGTCCTTCAGGTAGATGGGCAGTGTCTTCGTGGAGATGCTGGAGGGRACAAGAGCCGACCAAAGCGTTAGACAGCCCCCAAGCCAGGCCAGGAGATTGTCAGGGGCTCCTTGTGGGGCTTGTCTGGGGAGAACAACATCGCGATGGGGACCGTGATGGGACCAACATCATGATGTTGGTTTGGGACCAACATCGCGATGGGGAC